CAGTAATATTATATGTGAAAAAATGGAAATGTGATTTTCAAGCCTGCATTAAAGATTCAATTGGAGATTAAATTCATATAATCTTAAAAAGTCATGGACATTTCTAGAGTGAAAGAAAGAAGTAAAGTTTTAAATAAATAAAAAATCATTCATATTATATATTTAAAGAAAAATATTTTTTAAATATTACATCAGTAGGAATTATGTAGTTTATAATAATAATAATAATATTTAACTTATAATTTTATAAAATATATAATAATAAATAATACAATAATCTTATAGTATATACTAATTATTAATAATAAAAATAAATACTTTTACAAGTGTAAAAATTACTATTTAATTTTTCATGAAATGACTCCTAGAGGATCAGCTCTTCTCTCTCACTTCCTACACTTTCTTTGGCTTTGGCTTGTTGGTCGTTTGCATCTGTTGTTGTTGTTGTTACTCGGAGGAAGAGATGGAACAGAGTGAAGATGTCCTGATCTCCCAAATTCAGTCCTGAAAACAAAGCTGTAAATCTGTGAGCACCTGTAACCAGAAACCAGACGGTGCTCCTCTGTTTCTCAAGCTGTCTATTTCCAGATTATATTTTAGGCGTCACATTTTCAGTTCAGTGGGAATGAGAAGAGTTTCCTGTGTGCCGAGAGAGAGAGAGAGAGAGGCGTTTAATTGACACTTACAGATTTGACACGCTAGTGATGTTCCCCGCAGGCTGAAGCTGTGGATTTGAGGACTGTTGTGAGGAGAGGTTTGGCTGTAATATCGCTCTGCGTCCGGTGGAAAGTTGGGCGGCCGCTGAGGACGCGTGTCATTAGCGATCGTTTGGTTTGGCAGTGAAGGTTTGTGGGAATCGGTGAAAACCTGTGTGTTTGGTGCCGTTCTGAGAGCCGTAAAGCTCTCGTCTGAACACTGGCATCTGCTCCGTCTGTGTCATTCTGTGATTAAGAACAAATAAATACTTTTCTCAAAAGAAAAGAATCAGAGTGTCTGGAATGAACACTAGTGCACTGCATACTGCACAGCATTTACTGTATACTAACTGACCTTATTTAAAATTAGTGCTGTCAAACGATTAATCGCGATTAATCGCATCCAAAATAAAAGTTTTTGTTTACATAATATATTTAGGTGTACTGTGTTTATTTATTATGTATATATAAATACACACACACACATTCAGTATATATTTTGAAAATATTTACATGTATATATATTTATATTATCTTATTTTATATTATATATAAATATATTTAATATATAAACATAACATATTTTTCTTAAATATATACATGCATGTGATTGTATTTATATATGCATAATAAATATACACCGTACACACTCATATATTATGTAAACAAAAACTTTTATTT